AGTGCCTTGTGTAAATAATGCCTCTTACCTTTTCTTTTATTCCTTAGCAATGATGGGCAATTCCCTTGAATGGTATGTTTTAGAGTTGGATCGTTGTATATCTGTGTTCAGGCCAAGTTTGTAGCCTTCCACATTTGCTCTACATTCATTTGTGCTTATGATTGGACTGCTCCCATCCCCCAAAATATGAGCTTAACAATGTAAGCTTATGTATAACAGCACCTAAATCTTATTGTCATCTAACAATCTTTGCATCGACAACACAGTGAGTAAGGAATTAAAATAGTGAAGTTTCAATTTGAGCACATAAATGTTTTTTCTTTTGCAGAATATTTTTGATGAAAGATAGTATAGAACCATAAAATCATTTAGGTTGGAAAAGGCCCTTAAGATCATTGAGCCCAACTGTTAACCTAACACTACCAAGTCCACCACTAAACCACATCCCTAAGCACCACATCTACTCTACACGTCTTTTAAATACCTCCAGGAATGGTGACTCAGCCACTTCCCTGCTTTATTTAAATACCTGCTTATATTTCATGGTAAGCTTTAAGAACTATTTTTTAAAAAGCCCCCATTCTAATCCAAAGGATTTTTAAAGGGAGCTAGAAGAAATACTGACCTTACATGGCCATATAGTCTGTAAGATCTCTGATTTATTTTTTTAATTTAGACTCTAAAGTTCCTAGAGGTAAGGACTTAAACCTGTGGACCACAGGTATGTTATCAACCATGGTAAGTTGTTATAGCAAAAATTGATTAAATTAAAATTTCAGTTTTGTGCATATATCTCAAACTTCTGTGGAGAATAATGGGAAAGAATATTTTACTGTAAAAATAGAGGGAGCGCAATGGGAGAAACAATAAAAGCCATGGAAATTATATTATTTTTATCTACTTTTTGTCATTCTATCACAACATACTGATTGCATAGAAGGAGATCTATGAAATATTGAAAATACATAGCATTGGTTTAATGACTAGTTTCATAGCTGTAAAGCAAAGCATACCCATCAGCACAATATTTTATATTTATATAAATGTCATCATACACTGGAGCAGTTTTCATAGATTTCTGTTCTAGCTCTGTAACAGATGTGGTTTGTGTCATTACCAGGAAAAGAACATATAGGCATAAAGTTAATTTACACCCTGAAACTTCTTTAACTGTTTAAGAGTTAAAGAATCCTAACCTTATTGGTTGCTCTCAAGCCAAGAGTTGGCAAGCATGGCTCTAAGCAATGTAGTGGATGGACACACTAGATGTCAGCAGAATGACAAGCATGTGGCCTTATTCCATAATGCAGTCATTCAAGATCATTGACCATCTACACATCAAAACATATTTTTTCCTTTGTTTTGCCTCTCCTCTTTACCTGGGTGGGTGGTATATATCCTTACTCTGTTAGGTAAACCTAGAGACTACAGACTTCTGGTTCACTTAGGTTTTTCTTCCAGGTTAACTCCAGCTTTCTCTTCTGATTTCCTATACCATTACAGTCACGTTTTCTAAGGGTTGTGAAAGACACAAGTTGGAGGGTTTATTTCTGTGACTGCACCAGAGCTCTCATGTTGGCACATAACACTGAAGGATTTGGGGTGCTTTACTCTTCTCTGGCAGGCTGATATTCATTCAGTAATTTAGACCTGATCTTTCTAGAGTATTTATGTAATAATACTTGATCATTGATGCATCATAGTTCGTCAGCTTCTGGGTTTCAGCCCTCACTTTTTCAACTAGGTTCTTTGGACAATTATAGCCAACCGTAGTCAAACCTTGCTCGACTTAACATTATCAAGTTGGAAATAAATTGTGATTTTTATCTAATCTAACTTCAATGTAAGGATATTGAAGTTTTGAAAGATTGTAATAAAAACTGTGTGAGTGTAACTGTGTCCAACATTTTTACTAGGGCAAAACCTTAAAGGACATCAGTCCTTTGAGGGCTGTCATTTCCCTATGACAGGGAATATTGAAACATTGACTATATATATTTATCAAATGAATGCATGATTAGACTTTGGCAGGATGGGAAATGATCGTTTGTTCTTAAAAATTCATCTCACATCACAGGTATTTTTTGTTTGTGTTTGACATCACTAGAACTTATTTTCAAACTACTGTGAATTGACAGGAAGATAGATTGGAAAAATGTTGGTTAAAGATATTAGTCAGGGCAAGAATGTAATTTATTGAAATATGCTTGTCCTGTTCTTTGCTACAGAGAGCACAGAGCTATAGTAATATAGCAAAATATGTGTAACCGTGAGTTGTCGTCGTTAAACTATTGGGAGCAGAGCATTGCACAGGAGGTAACCTCAATTAGATCACTACATTCCTATCCCTAGTACTTTTTGTTTATTATACATCCACTAGGTCTCACTGCAAGAAAGTTCACCTGACGTTTATGATGTGTGTTGTTCTAAAAAGTGTATTGCAACCATATTTGTCTCAGAGCTCTAGCATAAAACAAACAGATTTTTCTGCCAAATTCTACTGCAAGAGCGAGTATTTATCTAGTAGTAAGTTTTTTAAAAGCACAGAGATTTCTTTCAAAATCTGCAGTTAGGTAGAAGTAAAGAGCTGGAGTCCCAGATTTCTGGCCTTTGGTGAGCCCTCTGTAATCTTCTGCAACAGTCTTTCCACTGAGGATTCCTTCAGCAGAAAAGATTATTCAGCAAGTTTAGGGCTGGTTTAGCCTCTGCTGAACAAATAATTATTTTTTTTTTTTTACTAATTAGAGGATGATGAACCTAGCTGCCAGAATGAGTCCTTCAGAACTGCTGCTGTGTAGCAGGAAAAAAGAAGAGCCAGCCTGAAACTTCCTCAGCTTATACATTGAGGTCGTCTAGTCCTGGAGCTTGCAGGATCAGAGGTGGCACTGGAAGATGAATTAAAATGCATTGTGTTTTCAGTACTGCGTGAGAAGATCTGCATGAGTACTGCATGAGTAGTGATTTTTCCTCCTGTTTCAAGGGGGAAAAATCGTCAAAGTTTCTGTAGAATCCAAGTTTGGCAATGAGTTAAACAATTAATATGGTCAATAATTTTGTTTATAAACCCCTAACTTTTTCTTAATAACACAGGAAAAGATAATACCTCCTTAATAAAGCTTTTGATGTACTCCTACTACTGGAGTAACTTGTCAAAGTGAGGACAGCTCGTAATGGAGCAGGGAATTTTGTGGGGTTTATTTTCTGAATTTCTTTGCTGTGACAGTTGCATTCAGAAAATGACGACGTTTAATTATGCAAAAAGAAATGGTTTTCATAACTCCTCCCACTGAGCATTCTCTCTCTTATGTAAGATATGTCATCAGAAGGAGCTGATAAGTACCATGACTTAGTCTTCAAGATTATATGTATCAGTTAATTGAGATTAATTAGGCAGAAATATTCAGTTAACTCTGAAATAACCTCTGACTATTCTGTCCAATGGTTTAAATTCCTTCTTTCTAAGGGAGACATCTATACCCTTATGATAAGGAGTATGCGGATTTACTAGGAGCCCACAGCTATCACTGTGGTAGGATACCATTGTTTAATTTAAACAATAAATGAACAATCAGGAGTAGCAAGGATAGCAAAAAGGTGCTGGTTTTAGTCAGTGGTAATAATATAAAATTACATGATGCTCAACTTTGTATGTTTTTTCATGCAGGCTGTGCAGTTATTTTGTATAGAAAAAAAAACAGGTCCATGCATGATAGTGATCAGCATCATCTCTTTGCTCATACAGGACAGAATTTTGATGTCCATTTTCAACAAACTAATTCAGTACATTTTATGCAACATTTGGGGACTTAGCATGCATCTTCTTCAAGTGTTCAGCAAGTGTAATTCTTGTACCTGTGTGATTCAGTGTCGTATTACATCTCTCTCATTGAAACAGCTTTCAAAGGCATTATAAGACAACTTCACATCAACGATAAGCCTTTTTTGTAATTGTGAAAATTGGATTACTACATAATGGACAGCTGCTAATATGTACCTTGGAACATTTCACTTTATTAATGATTCTTGATGTCTTGTTTTCTCACTATTTGGATTTAGCTCCTCTTTCACTCAGGTATATTGGTGTCCCTAAGCCTTTCTGGGCCACAGCTGGAGAAAGTGGTGATTGACAAGACCCTGGTGGGGAAGCTCATCTCCGACACCATCAGTGATGGTAATTACACCCACGTGCAAATCAATTGCCTGCATTAACAATAGGGTAGAGAAACAGTGTGTCAACAGGTAGACTAATTATTGCCACTGGGGACTTGCAAACACAACAAGTAATTGCATGTAATGCCATAGTTACAACCCTCAGGACTAAGAACACTTAAGAATAATATTTAACATCAAAGTTTTCAGGCTTGTCAAATACTGAATGGGTTTCTAAAATTCAGTTTCTTACATGTTTTAATCGCTGTGAACATACCATTTGAACTTGTCGTGTTTATTTCATAAGTAGGAAAATGGGACAGAACCAAACATTAGCCAACTGATTAACTACATGGGATAGTTATTAAAATATTTACTTATTAGAAAAGGCTGCATAACATTAGTTATGTGGAGGTGTTCCGATTTAGTTTGTACATTTCCAGAATTTCACTACTGTTATTAACTAGTCACTGCCAAAAGTGAAGTTTTAGTTGAAAGCAGAAGAAAACTTCTGAAAACATACCTGTTTTCAGCAGCTTTATAGTACAACTATACCTTTCTCAGTGTTTCTCTACAGAGCTTCACTGAGAACTCAACCAGGTATCTTGGCATCTGCATGATCAAGAATATGGAATTTCAGTGCGAGCCAAATTACATGTGCATTGTCTTCCAAGTTCTAAAAAGTAGACTCAAATTACGTTCTTTTAATAAGAATATATGCTAGATTTATCTTTGATCTTTAATGGTTTATTTTCTTCCATACCCAAGCATCTATTGAATATTGGCCTGGTTATTTAGGCAACCTGCAATACTGTGTCTCTGTGATCTTTCTTACCAATATACTGTAGATTAATCTTGTAAAATAACATTAATGTACCTATGTTAGTAGAATCTATAATATCAAAAAATTTAACCTGAACCTCATTTTTTTATCAGCTAGTTACAGAGAGAACACAGAACACATTTAATGGCTTGACTCCTTTTTTCACTCTTCACCTGAGTTACCAGACTACCAATTCCATCTCAGATTTTTCTGCCCTCTGTTTCCAGAGGGAGGATTTCATACTTTCAGGTGACAAAAAGTAGGAAAGCATGGACGCTTTGGTTATACCCAAATTGAAGTTTTTTGTAGAACTTACTTAGAATGCTCTGTCTTTTAAATAAAAAATAATGTAGATATAATAATTAAATTATGCATATCTTGCCTTACATTGCCTTAGTATGTCATAGAAATACAATTTTTTTTAAAAAAAATACAGTTAACTAGAAAAGCTAACAACTAAAGCAATAAAAAAAGCAACAAATATGTTTTCTACAGTTACACAACTCAAGATGCTATAAATAAAGATATATAATGGTTTGTCCTTATTTTCACTTATTCAAGAATTTCTTAAACCTCCATGTTTGGTAATACCCATATCTGAAGGTGAAATAGGAGTGCTCCAGTAAAAGCCAAACCCGCAATACCTGTCATTGCAATACATTTTTTGTTTTCATAAACAACAAAAGAACGTGCTTTCATTACCTGTGCAAATAGTATTCAAATTACAAATTTTTATACTGAATTATCCTTATGTGAGAACCACAACATAATGTAGCCCTAGAATAAATTAATTTTCATCCAACATAATTGCACATCTTTCCAAATCTAGGTTGAAATTGGGATTGTGATTATCAAATTGGCCAAAAGAAATTTGATATTTAGTACAAGAAATAACAGTTCTTACTTTAACAATTGTGTATATGTAGAAATGGATAAGGATTACAATATGCCAAAGTTACTCATGAAATGTTATAATTCCAACTCACAGTAGCATATCCTCTTTAACATTTGGAATTAAGGTCAGATTGTGTGCACAAAGTACGCAATTAAGATTGCATTTATAATCCTCCTGCCTCTAACAAAGTCCTCCTGTTTTTTATTATTTATAGGCAAAATTTAAAAATTAATTTAATTACAAATTATAGAAAAAAATGCTTTCCTAAAAGAAAACAGTATTTCTCATTTTCTAAATTATTTTGTGACACTGAGGTCTTGTGCAACCAGCATATAGAATATTAATGACACTGCCTGCCTTTTTAGGGTAATCTGACTCTGCAGCATATGGATGCTCTCTGGCTGATGGACTAACTCTGCCCATTGTTGCATTCATGTCGATCTAGTCTCCTCTTCTGCACAGGACAACCACAAATACTGAAAATCAAGGGACTTGATTGTGTCTTATTCACACCTGCCCAGGGATCTTTGAATCCTGCTTTCTTTCCTTCAACCAAAACAAATTTCAGAAGCATCTGAAGTGTGCTGTAGGTCATCTTTAATGCAAACTACATCTGTGAGGATATAAAAATATTTTAACTGTGTACATATCGAGGAGGCCATACTCAGTGGCTTTGAATTTTCATGTATGTTTAGGATCTTGGTTATAGCTTCTGACTCACCATGTCGGATACTTTATCACCATTTCTTTTTTTTTTTCAACAGCTAGTGTTAATGTTACATTTCAAAGGCAATTATTTGGCTTTAAACTTTACCCTTTAGCATTTGCATACCAGATACCTCAGAGCTATGCCACTACATGACTTGGAAAATGCAACTGGTTGTAAATCAGACTAAATCAAAGCAAAGCTGAGTAGCCGGTATTCAGTGTTTGTATGTAAGACTAAACCATCAATCCTCTTAAGGATATGTAAAATACATTTAAGAATCTAGGATATTAGTCACAAATGCATTTTTTTGTTGTTGTTTTTCAGGGCTTGTTCTGCAGGATTTTGCTTGTTTGTTTTTAAATCTGATTCGACTTTACTTGACATTTTCCTTTTAGCAGAGGTTTCTGAGTTTACTTTCTCAAAACAGCTTGCTAGCTTTACTTTAAACCTGATTCTCTTTAACAATTCTTCGGTGATCTGGTACTAGTTACCCTGATGACTCATTTTCATTCTCAGACATCAGACAAATGTGGGCAGTGCTTGAACAACTGAATAGCACTTGGGAAAAATCCTAGATACTATTGTCTAATTAATTTTCATTGTCAAATTACTTAATCACTTTTATATTCAATTATTTCTGTCTAGCACCCCATTACAATAACAGTGGGGATTCCCCACACTTTTCCAGACTCCAAGGGAGTCTGTTCCATCTTTGTTACCTGTGTTGTTTGGGTACCCCCATGTGAAGCTTTCAGCAAATTCATAACCCCTCTGAAACATAATCTTGCATGTAACCGTCTCTTTGGTGTCTGCAGCAGGACCTGGAACCTTACAATGTCAAAATACCAGATAGACCTCAAGTACTAATTTGCATTTATCATCCTTAACAGAAGCTATGCAGTGTTAGGTGCATTTCCGAAATACTGGTGATGTTACCATAAGAAAAAAAATACTGAAGGCTGAACTGAGATGAAAATTAATGTGGAAGGGCATAAAATATATAGTTGAATGTAGTGGTAACTTGATACAAGATAATTTATTCAGGTTTATGTAATTGGAGTACTCCCTAGGCTTTATTTTTCATTTCCAAGAAGGTCCTGGCAGGATGACACATTGATGTCTTTTAGGAGATTACAGAGGTTTCAGTGTAATATTTAAGACACTGTCTTGAAAAAATTGCTTTTTGCAATGTCTCAGTGGAGGGTTTGGTAATTTGTTTTGTTACTAGAAACAGGTATTACAGTGGTGACAATTTTTATTTGTTTTTCAGCTCTTCTTACAGACAATTTCATCATCTTGTCATTTGAGGACCATAACCAACTCTGCTTTATTCAGTTTACAAAGAAGATGGATTCTCCCAATGTAAACAAAAGACTGGAAAAACTCTCTTGTTTGGACTTTAAGGTATAGCTGTCCATGGTGTCTGTAAATACTGCAGCGACTTTACATTATGAATCATTGGTACTCACTGATATTGTATAGCAGTATAAAATGCAAACCTTTATATAACTGACCAGAACAGCTCAAATTCTAAAAATGGCAGTTACTGAAAAGTCAAAAAAAATTACATGGCATTCTGAGTTAATGAGTTAAAATACTGTGCTAAGAGGGATTCTGTTTTCTACTGTATTTAGGTTAAGGGTTCATACACACAGTTGAGTTACCCCTGCTTAACAGATTACCTTGTGTCAGTTGAACAGCGGTGACTGACCCTTTGCACAGTCTCAGCATCTAACAAGCATGAAGCAAAAACTGTAATGGTAAACTTCAGTGTCAAAGATTTAAGCTAATGTGTTTTACCTCTTGTTTGCTGTGGGCTAAAAACGCACGCGTGGTCAATTACTATGGCTCAGCTGATATACACAAACTCACGAAGGTATGATAATTCAGTCATCTGTCTAAGCTCCAAGACTCTTGTAATTCTTTGCAGAAATCTTAATTTTCCCTCTAGTTGCAATAATCATATTGTTGGGAGAGTTGGTTTTACAATTAAGCCACTGAACTAGGACTCAAGATATAGGAGCTGAGTTTCTCACCACTGACAAACTATGTATGTGACCTTAGGCAAGTGACTTGGTGCCTCTGTATCTCAATTCACTACTTACACAGTGAAGGTTAAAATACTCCTTTTTTTCCAGCCCTTTGTGTATAGGTATGTCTGTACCGCAGTCACAACAGTAGCTGAAAGGTAGTCTAGAGATAGCTGAGCTGACTTTAAACTAGCTGGTTTGGATGACAGTAGAAACCAGCTCATTTCAAGCTGATTTACACTGTCTTGGACAGACTGGGCTGTGCAGACATAATTTATTTTGACCATAAGCTGTTTGGCATCAGGGCAGTGGCCAACCTTAGGTGGAAGTGCTTGGCGCTACGACAACATGAAAAAATAATCAGCCAAAGGCAATTAACTGTGAACAGACAGAATAGGAAAGGGGCTGCATCCAATTCACTGCAAGAATGAGGAAGAGACAAGCCTTTGCCCAAGAAAGGTAGAATAACATAGTGAGCAAAAGAGAGAGTTTGTGTTTATTTCAGACTGGGTAAATGTTAAGGAAAACAATCTTGTGGTAGAAAATATTTTCCCCTTGACAACCCCTCAGTAATTTGCTTCCTCACATAAGGGAGTTGGCATCTGCAAGGCAAGCTTTTTAAGGATACGTTTAATTTAAGTTTTGCCATAATACATTTTAACTTGCTTTGTAGAAATACTTTCTGCTAGGATGAATATCTAATACATTTTCCAGGCTGTTTCAGTTCAGGGCCTCTTTTCAGCAATGACTTGTGTTTGCGAGATTGATCCAACCACTATAACGTGGATTTGAGACAGTTCACTGTTCACCAGGAACTGAGCTGATATGTAGTTTACTTTAAAATGATGTGTGCTTGTGCCTGGCCTATGGTGTTTGTTAAGGCTGTGCTTTAGAAGCAAGTGTGGTGTGTGGTGTATAGGGTTTGGGTTTTTTTAGTAGCACTAAACTTTAACGAAGAAGCTGTGGTGAGCTGAAGACCGCATTCATCATTTAATTGTGAGAACCATAGCTCCTTACTTAATTTATGTTTAGAAAATGTATTTTCATTCTGAGTATGGCTGGACACATTTTGGATCCAATGGTTATGGCACTTTTTTCTTGAGAAAGAAGGAAAGCCTAATCCATAGAAAACTCTCTCTGCCCCAGGAAACCAGAAATATCCGCTGCGCTCCTTAATAGGGTTGTTATGTTCAGTTCTTTGCTGACACAGCTGAGCTTCTAGAAACGCCTCCATATTCAATGTTAACTTTGCTTTCTCTTGAAATCAGTGGGAATCACTATGGATTATTTCTTTGCCAGCCAAAAAAAGGCATTTGCATTTTTTAATTGAATGTTCTTTTGTGTGAGGCTTGCTTGTTAAGCAGCTAAATATAGTTTTTATTATCTTCAAAATTGCACCAGTGTGAGCTAGCAGAAAATATTATTCACTACTGCAATAATATTATGTCATCTCTTTGCATTGAGTTAGAATTATTCATGGCTGATTTTGGTCAAACTTACAAAAGCTAAAAGATCACAGACAGAGTCAGCGCTAGTTTTGCTATCAGTAAGAAAAGAGACAAAAGGTGGTACTCAGTTGCAAATGTGCAAACTTGTAACAATATACACTTCAGAAAAAAACCCTGTTCCTTCTTGTTTATTTTTTTTTTCCCAAGAGAAATTGAATTAAAAGGTAGCTTGCACTGGTATAGAACTACCACGGGATTAAAATATGGAGCTAAGATTCAGGAAATCTGAGTGTAGCCTTCACTTCTGGCTCTGACTTTTGGTGTAGCCTTGAGAAATGTACGTAGTATTTGGGATTAAATTCCTTTTTCTAAAATGAGGGGAATGCTTGCTTACAATCATATGTGATGATATAATTAAATTTCTGTCATATTAACATTGTAATTTCTTTGGTACCTGGACAGAAGCAACTTCACGTTGTTCACTGTCCAGCCTCATGGTGGGCAAAATCGGCAGGGAACACCAGGCAATACTGTCAGAGCGCTATTGATAATAAGAACAAGTCAACCATGCTTTCCTCCTCACAGCTTGATATTTATCCAAAAGTTGGTTTTTTTACACAATACATACCTAAATGGAAGAACTGCTTTCTCTATCCTCTTCCTTTCTAAACGATACCACCTTGGATTTTATTTACACTTTGAAAAAATAAAGGAAGACTTATTATATAAATCACTACAGTCTTGAAGACCAGCAAAATATAAAAACAACTGTTATAATTTCTCTTTTCTCAGTCGCATTAGTCCATATTTGAGAGTGCCATGGTCTAATGCAAGGCATAAAGGTTTACAAAAGATTTGTGGCTGTTACTCTATGTGAAATTGTTATGAACCGTTAACACTGCAATACAGGACTAATTAATATCTGTGAAAGTATTTGTGGTTTTCTGTCCTAATAAATGTGTGTCACCAAATTAAACTATTTATATATGTTTCTAATTCATGTAGCAGCTACCTGTTAACTTTTATGTGTGTTTTATCTTTACACTTCTAAGTATTTTGACAAATAAAACACAGGATATTCTGAAAATATTGACCTTTTGCAAGTTTTTCCCATCTGTGTTTTTTTTAATCCATTTCAATTTACTGAAGGAGGAGACAGTACAAGGAGTTAAATGTTTACCATGAGAGAACAACATTGGTAATTACTTTGATTTCAGTTCCTTTTGATGTGTATTCAGGGGATGAAGAGGTCAATAATATTATGACCATGCAAATAGAAAAGGGTTCTTTTTGACCATATAAAAAACCAGCAAAGGATTATTAAAGCATTAACCTTGATTTTAATGGCCTTGGTTGAGTGGTGAGATCACAATTTGGATGAGCCTGATTATTTACTAAATACAATACATAAATGCAACGGGTTCTTAACACCCATTGCACTCTGGCATTATCGCATTACTGCCATCCTTTGTTGCCTTGCAGACAGGAATATGAAAGCAATCTGTCATGTAGTGAGACTGGCTCCAGAAGCATTTCTCTGATAAGAAGACCCCCTGCCCTTTGCTAGTGTCTGGTCCAGTAGGCTTAGCCATGCGCTTAATCCCCAGAAAGTGGTTCGATTATTGCTGACCAGCAATGGCAAGATAGGTTTTTTTTTCCCCTAGCTATCAACCTTCCATTAATTCCTTAAGCAGAAATGCGGTGCAATCTATATTTCCTTGGCATGTGTCACCCAGATGGTGCACTGCTCATGTTTTCAAATAACCATGCTCCAAAATAACAGAGTTTGAATAATAAATTCCACAAATCCTTCCTGAGAAAGAGGCACAATTCTCAAGAGCTGCATAAACTTTACGCATGATGCTGTAGCTCATCCATGTTATGCAGAAAAGTATATATTCTCTTGCAGAGCGGATGTTTTGTATCTGGATTCCTTAATTTAGAGAGGAAAAAGAAAGATGTATGTTTGTTCAAACACTGTAGAATATATTTAATATTTGATTATGTCTTAAACACTAGCCTTAGCTCCCTGGTCAGCTTTGCAGAACTTGTCATTTAATATGGCTAAGCTTAAATCCTGTGTGTAGGTCGATGCTGTCAAGCAACCATGACTGTACATTTTGGTATTGATTGGAGTCATTGCAGCAAATTCCTTCTTAACTCACATTCCTTTCCTTCCCAATTGCCTCCCCATAGATAAAAGCGTGAGCATGTCTTTTTCTGTCTGAGGAGATATTTTTTACATTTCCAGACAGCCTATATGAAGATATATGTGCGCAGTCCTCTGTGTATATATATATTCTCTTTCACATATCCAAAGTAAATGTTCCCAATTGCTCCTACTAGTCTATTTTATCACCTCAAATATTTCCTGCATTTTTTCTTCCATCAGATTTCTTACATTGATATACGCGGACCAGAAGGTAGAAGGATGAAGCGTCACCTGGCAATAAACTGTATGCAAGATATGGTCATTTGCTGGTGGTCAGCAACTAGTGATGGAGCATGGCCTTGGTCTCCTATTTCCTGTGAGAGGGACAGAGCCAACCTATTGCTATTAAGCTGTGCACATGGCAAATTGGAGGTAAAGTGCTGAACTCTCTTGTTACGTGATTTTTCATATTTGCTATTCAGTGCATATTCAGGTAGATATAAAGAAAAGATATGATAAAAGCATAAGAAAGGAAGATCAGCCATTCTAATCTTAAAAGCAAAGGTTCATTATTTAATGAAAAAGGCACCTTATTTAATATGTTTACTATTTCACATCAAAACTGGCAATCTGAAAAATGTAGCAAGGAAGTGAGGTCTTTATAATGGAATAGCTTTGGAGCTGCTAACACTGAAAATAAAGTATCAGATTAGAAAACTCCAATATGAGTTAGAAACTGTAGCTGTTGCATGCTTGCCTAATGCAATTGTTTTACGTTGTCTGCAATGTTGACTGATTGGCATTTTACATCTATTTGAAATGCTTTGTTACAAAATTTTAGCTACACCCTGCTATTGCTTAAATTGTTGCTATGAGTATTGATCAAATCAGGGGCCAATTTTTTTTCTTAAATAAAAAGTCAAAATTCTCCATCTACAGGTGGGAATGTAAGCTACAAGTTAGAACAAGGCTACAAGCTGACCCTCCTCCTGGCATTTGCTTGGCTTACCTTTTTAGGCAGTTGTTTCCATTTCATCTACTTTGTATTTTATTTAAGAATATTTGAATCCAGTTTCTTATGTTAAGTAAAAACTTAAAAATGAAGCTATCTGGGCATATGCTGAAAAGAGCTGGAGCCTGAATTTAAAACACTGTTCTGGACTAGCATCTTGTAGAGATGCTTCTGTATCTGGAGTTTTATTTTCAGTTAAGCTTAAGCCACTACAAATATGGACTAAAAAGGCTGTGGCTGTGGGAGAAGAGCACAAACTTGAGAATCAGCTGTGGAATAGCTGTTCTGGAGTAGCTATTACAGGCTATTTCCCTG